CATTTCTCAAGTAAGCTCCAAGCCAATACCTGCATTTAAAGCATTTAAAGGACGCAGCAAACCAGTGTAACTTACCTGGCCTGAGTCTTGGCTAAGCCTGAGGTACATCACCGTCTCCACCATTATGAGGTAAAACAAAAACAAAAATGAGCAATTCTGGCTCCACCTATCTTGGCAGGATTGTCCTCTCATCAGCTCTCCTCTCGCACCGTTGCAATGCGACAGAGCGCTAATCGGGACCCTCTGGTGTTGCAATTAGGAAATCCTGCGGAGGCGGAGTGTCCTTCATGCACTTCGGAGGCCTGGTCTTCGAAGTCCGTGGCACTCGAAGTGTGCACACTCAACTTTGGGACACAGTTTATGAATGAATCAGTGAATCTCCAGGTTTGTTCAAAAACGCAAATTCATTCAGTAAGGAAACACCGCTGTGTGCTGCTGCAGAGACGCTCAACATGGCTTTGTTTTGAACCATTTTCTTTAGTGAAATGGAGCAAAAAAGACAATATTGTCTCTACAATTTAAATAACTTACTCTTTGTTTTTTGTTCATTGAATTGTTGCCCTGACACGAAGAAAAGTCTGCCACAGACCATGCCAACCAAATCGTTCATATGATCACTCTAAATGCGGGTCCTAGGAAGACACGACAGCATATGATTAAATGCCTATATTTGTTGCTTCACAGTGACAGTGTTCAGTAACAAATAACCTAAATTCAAAAAAAATAAAAATAAAAAATCAATATTACAGCGATAAGTTATACAGACACCTTAAACAGCTGCTGTAAATTTTTATTGCTCGTTGGCCAGTTTACCTTTCAATCAGAAGTACAAGCCTCAGTGGGCGGGTCTTGTAAGGAGTGAATGACAATGCAAGCAGACACTGTTGGATGTGCAGAAAGCAAATCTGCAGTACTAATAGAAATTAGTTGAATGCGCACGAACACTCAGTGATGATTCGTAAAGGGCATAGTAAAAACATTCGGGGCTTGACTGAAAAAATCCGGGGCTTCAGCCCCCTTAGCTCACCCCTAGCGCCGCCCAGACCAACATGACATTACTAAATTGTGGTAACAGATAATCAATGAAACTCCAAAAGTCGAGAGTCTTAAGCCCCTCCATCTCCCGAGGAAGCAAGGGGTTGTCTAAGCAATCATTAAAAATCTTGCTGAGCTTGTTCCAGTTCTACCTCCAAAGTCCAGAAGGTCTGAGCAAAACCTCCTACTTCCTTCCCCTGTTGGCGAAGATCCACCAACATCTGGAGCCGAGCCTTCCACTCCTTCTTCGAAGCAGGAGAAAGAATACGAATGCCCATGGTCCACAATCCAATAAGCCCAGCCTAGCTGCTGGATCTGTTGATGGCTGGTTTATTCTGTCACAGAATGCTCCAAAAAAAGAAGATACAAATGCAGCATTTATTGAAGAGTCCAAAAACAAACAGCATAATCCACATCAGGGCAAAAACAGAGCAACAGTAAACAATAAACCAGCAACCAAAGACAAAGAAAACCGGGCTTATATGTGGATGAGTTAACAAGGTAAATGAGACACAGCTGAATGTAATGAGACTTAGTAGTCAAAGCAAAGGGTGATGGGAACTGAAGTCCAGAGAAACAAACAAAACTATGAAGCTTGCCCTCTGGTGGCTATACATGGGCACACCAACTAGACACTGTGACAGTCGGTGCATTCCAAACGGGATATATCGCCCTCCGAAGGGCACTTCGGAGTGAAAACAATCATGGCCGGCATATTGAAGGGTCATTCTAAACCGAAGTGCTCAGAACTGGCCACTTCAAAGGGCCCTTCGGAATGAAGGATTTCGAAGGGTACAACTGATGGACACTTCGGGCTCCCATGATCCTTTGCGCAGATTCTTTGCATGATGACAGCGCCTACGTGTGGGCATGTGATGACGATGCAGTAGGGCACTTCAAGAAACAGTTGTTTGGTCCCCTACACCCTTCAACTCTTCAAAGCTCTCACTCCTGAGGGTAAACCCTTTGAAGGGATTAGGGCATAGGGATGAGCCCTTCCAAATGGAACGCAGGGAGTATCTCTCTCAGGATGATGGTTAGGGTAGTTCTTAATCAGTAATTGAAGTTCCAATCATACTGACTTATTGCTTCTACAAACACGTACACTATCACCTAAGAGGTCATTGTTGGTCTTTTTCAAAAGATTTATATATTATTGTTTTGGTCAATATCAATTTAAAAATAATTAATGGTGGTTAAAGGCTTGAATTAATAATTTGAACAGTTGTTACTGTTTTATTGTATAAAACCTGACAAACTTCTGTAATGTTTTTAAAGGAGGAAAATGTGCTTGTGAAATCATTTTCTTTAAAGTGAATTCCATTTACTTTGATACTAATGCAGTGATATTCAGACATTTCTCAGTTTGAATTAAATGAATACATACCACATAGACACACTCATAACTAAACATGTTGAAAAGGTGACTGTAAAACAAGGTAAGAGATTTTTGTGTCTGTGTGTGTGTGTTTTTGGAAGATGCTAGCCAGTTGGGAAGGGGCAAGGCCAGAGTTCAGGATGCATAGGTCAGCATCTTGTGCAGCTGTGACCAAGCAAACTACTGCTGGGTCATGCATGAGAGGTGACTCATGACAGGGTGTGCCTCCTCATGCAAACAATCCTTGGATAACACACACCCATAACCCTCATATGGCCTTAAGGCGGTTTATCATGAGTGCAAATGCACAGCTTATGAAATTAAATCCTCTTTAACAAAGAAAGAGAGACACATAGATATAGTAGATGCTCTGTTCCAAAACCTAGTTGATTTTAAGACATCATAAGCTCCGTCCGAACACAAAGGTTGTTCCAAAAGAAGTACAAATTATTAGTCACTCAGCCCCTTCCAAATATTAACTAGATGTTTTACAGAAAGATGATTCTTAGACTGTGAACATGCTAACAAGTACTCACCAAAAAATGGATTATTAAAAAATTATAATAATGAACCCTACATCCTCCACGCTGACACAGCTGATGCGCTTTTAAAGCCCTCTGGTGGAAGGAAAATTGATTGCCTGTCCAGGTCTTGTTTGGGTATTTTGCACTGACAGCTATCATGAACTGAACTGATAAGTGCATTTAATCAGAATTTGTCCAGCTTCAGCACTTCCTTTTATGGACTGCACAGCATTCGCTGGTCTGTGCCAGACTTTCTTTTTGGGCTAGTGACAGAATGCTTTCCATTGACCCTCTCATAAACAATGATTTAGATTTAGATTTGGGTGGGTAAAGCTTCTTTTTTTGCATAGAAATTTTGGGGAACAGGTGCTCAAGCGAAAAAAAGGCACTCCTCCAATAATTATAAAATAAGGTTACATATCGTTGAACATCTTTTAATGTTCATGTTAGCTAACTGTGGTAAGAAGCGCATTTGGTTTCAACTGATAGTGCCCATAAAATTATTGACACAAATTCCTAAAAAATAAAAAAAGTCGACCCCTGCGAAAGTCATTCAGTAATTAAACTTATTTCCCCAGGGTTGTACACATTGAACACCACTCATACTCTCTCTATAACCCTCCTAGTGTTAACCGTGCTCTGTTGCTCTGAGTCACTATTGTAGCATTTGGTTGGTGCCTTACCGAGAAAGAGTCGACGGGATCTGGGCGGGACCGAATCGCCTCTACTGCTTGCACTTCATTACTCTGAAATCTCCATGATCCACCTGGACGACCGCTTGATAGCTCAGGTGAGTGACAGGCTGTGTGTCAACATGTTGTAGTTTAATGTACATTTAATCGAAACGCCGGTGCATTTGTAAATTATGATTAGTACTGTTTTGCAGTGGAGAAGAAACATTAGATCTACAAAGGTTATGTCATGCGCAACACTGCTGTATAGGCTACTACAGTACGATTCCTTGTTTAAGCTTTAGTGAGCGAACGCATTACACAAAAGAAAAAAGATATGCATGCGTAAAACCAAAAGGCTACAGCCTTTTGATCAATGGACATTGCATCGTAAATGTAATGTATGTGGGTGAGGAAACAGAGAAAAGGACAATTGATACTGAAGCAATAGCTGTGTATATTCAATGACAATCACGTCATGAAAGTACGCAGACATTTATTGTCAGGGCATCCACTGACTGATGCATGAAAGAGATCGCAGTTATGTCATGCTTTCATATGCTGTAGATCGATTGTACTATTAAATCGACTATTACAGATCAAACACAAAGGTTGTTCCAAAAGAAGTACAAATTATTAGTCACTCAGCCCCTTCCAAATATTAACTAGATGTTTTACAGAAAGATGATTCTTAGACTGTGAACATGCTAACAAGTACTCACCAAAAAATGGATTATTAAAAAATTATAATAATGAACCCTACATCCTCCACGCTGACACAGCTGATGCGCTTTTAAAGCCCTCTGGTGGAAGGAAAATTGATTGCCTGTCCAGGTCTTGTTTGGGTATTTTGCACTGACAGCTATCATGAACTGAACTGATAAGTGCATTTAATCAGAATTTGTCCAGCTTCAGCACTTCCTTTTATGGACTGCACAGCATTCGCTGGTCTGTGCCAGACTTTCTTTTTGGGCTAGTGACAGAATGCTTTCCATTGACCCTCTCATAAACAATGATTTAGATTTAGATTTGGGTGGGTAAAGCTTCTTTTTTTGCATAGAAATTTTGGGGAACAGGTGCTCAAGCGAAAAAAAGGCACTCCTCCAATAATTATAAAATAAGGTTACATATCGTTGAACATCTTTTAATGTTCATGTTAGCTAACTGTGGTAAGAAGCGCATTTGGTTTCAACTGATAGTGCCCATAAAATTATTGACACAAATTCCTAAAAAATAAAAAAAGTCGACCCCTGCGAAAGTCATTCAGTAATTAAACTTATTTCCCCAGGGTTGTACACATTGAACACCACTCATACTCTCTCTATAACCCTCCTAGTGTTAACCGTGCTCTGTTGCTCTGAGTCACTATTGTAGCATTTGGTTGGTGCCTTACCGAGAAAGAGTCGACGGGATCTGGGCGGGACCGAATCGCCTCTACTGCTTGCACTTCATTACTCTGAAATCTCCATGATCCACCTGGACGACCGCTTGATAGCTCAGGTGAGTGACAGGCTGTGTGTCAACATGTTGTAGTTTAATGTACATTTAATCGAAACGCCGGTGCATTTGTAAATTATGATTAGTACTGTTTTGCAGTGGAGAAGAAACATTAGATCTACAAAGGTTATGTCATGCGCAACACTGCTGTATAGGCTACTACAGTACGATTCCTTGTTTAAGCTTTAGTGAGCGAACGCATTACACAAAAGAAAAAAGATATGCATGCGTAAAACCAAAAGGCTACAGCCTTTTGATCAATGGACATTGCATCGTAAATGTAATGTATGTGGGTGAGGAAACAGAGAAAAGGACAATTGATACTGAAGCAATAGCTGTGTATATTCAATGACAATCACGTCATGAAAGTACGCAGACATTTATTGTCAGGGCATCCACTGACTGATGCATGAAAGAGATCGCAGTTATGTCATGCTTTCATATGCTGTAGATCGATTGTACTATTAAATCGACTATTACAGATCAAAATCAAGCAGAAGAGTATCGGCTTCTAATGTAATTTGTTTGAATTAATGTCTCAGATATAATTAGCCTGGTATGTGGCGTTATGTATAGTAAAATATTTGTCTGGTATTCTAGCCTTTAAGAACATTTGATTTGAGGCATTCTTTACTATTTTATTTTTCGTTTGTGTGTGTGTGTGTGTGTGCATAATTTAGGAATTCTGGTTCATTTGTGCCTTTGAGAAATGCATTTACTGCCGTCAGCAGTCTCTAAAGGTGGTGCGACATTCACACAGAACAGAAAACACTTCAGACGATTTAAAACATTAGTTCAATGACTTGCCACAGCATGACAGCGTTAAGAACATTAACAGGTATTGGTTAATTTCAAGGTGGATATGGATTAAGTAATCACTTGCAGTCATGTAGCTCTCTCACTTTTGGCAGGTCCTGTTAGGGGTTGCTGCAGCAGATCATCTGCCTATATATTTGGCATAAGGGGCGGCGCTAGCAATTTTGGGCTCTATGAAAGAATATGAGGTTGGGCCCCCTACCGCACCAAACATACACTATATTGCCCCAAAGTATTGGGAAAACTAAAAAAAAAAAACTAATCGCCAAACACCAATGACTTGTACATATGCGTACAATCATTTTAGGGGTGCCGCTAGCAATTTTGGGCCCTATGAAAGAATATGAGGTTGGGCTCCCTACCGCACCAAACACACTATACTGGCCAAAGTATTGGGAAAACTCAAAAAAACTCATCGCCAAACACCACTTGTACATACGCGTACAATCATTTTAGACACTTCCAAAACTGTGGCAAAAAAGATGGAAATACAATTTTTAAATACATTAATTATGTTTCCATCTTTGATGCCACAGTTTTGGAAGTGCCTTTTTCTGGTCTAAAGAAGGGAGTGTCCCAATACATTTGTCCATATGTATACTATGTACATTGTCATTGGTGTTTGGTGATGAGTTTTTGGCTCAAGGTCTGCATTTAAATTATTCTGCAGATATGGAATGAGTTTGACTACTTAATCGGTTATATTAATAGAAATGCTTCACTGGGGCAAACAAAAAAAATCCTAAAATAATAAATACCCCAAAGCAGCATTTCCAGCAGTATCCATCAATTCTCAATCATGATCTTACTCAGCTAAATGCGACTATTAGCTTAACAGCTGTATGCAGAGTATCTGGTTGCCATGACAACCTCATGCCCGTCCTGCTGCTGCTCTATGTAATCAGATTGTGAATTTATAGATTTTCTATAGCAAAACTAAAATGTGTTTAAAAGTGCGACTGACCAAATTGTCCGGCTTGGTTTGCCCCCCTCGAACTCGAAGACATCTCTAATTTGACAGTTTACCATCTGATCTCACTCAGTGACTCTAGGCTATGTAGGACGGGACGACACCATGCAGTGAATGGGGGGAGATAATTTTGCTGGAAATGCAGAAATAAGCCATAAGCTCTTTGGTAGATACATTTATAATTTCTATTACATGTTTACTACTATAATTACTACTACTACTGTTACTACTAATAAAACAGATCTCTGGGGGCCCCAAAAGTGCGTGGGCCCTTATAATCGTCCTAACTTTCCTCCCCTTAGTGGCGCCCCTGTTTGGCATGTTTTATGCTGCATGCAATTTAGAGCTTAGTAACTGAGTCAGGTTAATTTAGTAACAGCTCGGACTAATTGCCACCTGGTGGTGCAACCACCAGTTACTGCAGTCAGTTCAACAAATGTGTAGACGGCACTCTCGGATAAGTATGTGTGTGCTAGACATTTTGGGCTGCACAAAGGGTAAACAATTCTTGTAGCCTCCTCTGGTGATGACATTTATGCCAAGCACACTATGAGCAAGATGTGGATGATTCATTAAAAAGAACAGACCGATAAAATTCATGCAGAATCAGACTACACTGTTCATTAATGCAATTAGGCATTCAGGTTGATCCAGCTAGCAGCATCTATGAATGAAGATTGTTGAGACTGACTTAAGATAATTACTCACATGCACAAGTCTAGAAGCAGAGTTCTAGGATGTTCCTTAAACAACTCCCTATTTAAGCAGTGCACTGGCCAGGGAGTTGGCCATTTCTAGTCAGGTCAAGTCACCATTGTTTACATGGCGCTTTTTACAGTGCAGATTGTGTCAGTACAGCTTTACAGTGTTAAACAGGGAAATAGTATGTCAAAATAGTGGCACAGATACTGGCACAGATTGCATACTCTGGCTAGACGAAACCAGCAGTTTAATTAAAGGCTGCAAAAAGTCAGGGCTGTCCCACTGTCAAAATTGCTCCAAATTGCAAAATTGCTCCAATGCATTGAAATGTTTACTACCTAAAAATCAGGTTGTAGTGTTCAACAATATCAGGTGGTGTATCACTGTCGTCCTATTGCTTGTCACTGCTCATTTGCATAAAGTTGAGCTCTACTCAGACCAACAGTCTCTGTCGCTCATTGAAAATAAATTATGTCTGGCCATTTTTTTTACGAGTATCACAACTTTTGAAAGTCATGCAGGCTTTTATCATATCTTTTGATTGATAAATTTGTCATCTGCCATCTCAGTGTGACTGTCAGCCCAAATTAGGGGTTTAATGTTCTACTTGTAAAATTTGCATAGTTGACGTTTGTGTTTTCTGGCCTTATGTGGCTGTGACTTCTAACACCTGTCTGTGCAGTGTATCTAGCAGATTTACAAGCTCACAATGTTACAAAGATACATGCACACATATTTGAGTGTTTATGCCAACACTGCATGTGACATCTCCCTCCCAAACAGTTAAGAAAACACCCCGGGGAGTTGCAAGTTCAGTCAGGCGTTCCTACAGACCTCTGCCACAAGACTGAAAAACAAGTTCAACTTGAAAGTATTTGAGCCTCTGAAGTGTATTCTTATTTAGAGAGTTAATAAATGTTGGTTTATTTAGTTCTTACAAAACACACAAATGTGGACTGTAACAAGGGAAGGTAGACAGTGAGTTCTGTCATCAAAGACTGTAAACACATTCTGTGTTAAGAAGGCATAACCTCTGCTCTTCTGGTCCCTAGTTTAATGTAACAGCAAAAATTTCTATAATACCAAGGATGCCAGCACTAATTATACTGCAGTTGTTGCAACATGACGATGCCTGTTGTTTTTTCTTCTTCTCACAATGGATAGCATATTTGGATTCTGTTTATTGCCATATATGTTATGGCTAGGTTAATTGCCAAATATCTACAAAAATTATGTTGGCTGGAGAAATTATTATTATTATTATTATTATTATTATTATTATTATTAAGGGTTTGAAATTAACACCCGCCAAATGCAGGTAAAAATCAGCTGTGGCAGGTAACGCTGTCAAATCACTAGCCAATTTGGCGGGTTACTTTTTGTAAATTATGTTCACTCTTTAATATCTTAGGCAAGTTCATTTAAGCCAAATCTGCGCAGATTTACTGCAAATAAATAACTCTTGACTCATCATGATATATTACATACAGCCTAATTTTGCAGCATCTGTGCATATCTAGCTTACTTGAACAAACCCGACAAATGACGGTGCGGCAGGTCGCTGGCTTCCTTTGCGTTGAAGTGAAAAACGACTGAAGACTCTACACTGGGTGCGAGCAAACCCATTATGATCAGTGATGGTGTCTACACTGGATGCGGCGTGACACAACAAACAGTAAACTGATGCATCGTTCTATTTATGATGTACTGACACAAAGTTCAAGTGATTTGCAATGCCCGCTTTGTCACATCCAGTGTGGACAGCCGCAAGCCGTTGGTTTATTTATTAATTAATTAATTTTTTGGCTAGTAGAAGTTATGAATGGCCGGTAACTTAAAAATTTAGTAGCCAAATTGACTGGTGAGTGAAAAACATAAATTCAAACCCTGATTATAAGGCTAACATATCTGACTGTCCTCATAGAGCTTTAAAGCTACAACCATCAATCTCGGCTCAGACCTTCAGACTGTTCTGATTTATGCCAGGTATGCACTACACGATTTTAGCCCCGATTTTCAATCGCAGACAGTTTTGAGGAAATCACAAACAAATGCCCAAAACTGGAGGCAAATTGGCACTGGTTCATGTGTGTGACAGTCACGTAGTATGTTATCAAAGTTGCAATATGAGAGAAGCGCCGAGTCCTGCAGTGTGAAATGTGTTTTGACTGAAAATGACATTGGTTATGACCTACAGTCAGAGCATGATACAATGAGAGAGCATGATACAGGGCAAGGGAAAGTTTAGGGGGTGGAGTCATATAGATCTGCAACAAAACATCAGCATGCATGTTTTCTGCAAGCAACCATCCCTACTTTATAATCTTCTTTTTTTTCTTTTTTGCTGCAAACCAGCATACACACAACTTGTATCGTAAGCTTTTTGTTGCAGTTTCTTTCAGAAAGAAATCCAGTCGTGCATGAGAACTCCTGTCTCATGTGTGATCTTAAGTTGTAGTTTGCAAACCAGACGAAGTTGTCGGCGTTTCTTCCTTTTGAAAAGTTGTGTAATGTG